AAAGTTAACACATTTCAATATTTTATATTTTATCTGCAATGAAAATCAAATTGCACAGTCGGCGCCTATGCGAAATGATCTTTATTCACGCATCACTGACTTTCTTGCGACATCGTAAATTCACAGGAAAATCAGCGGCAGGCGCGAAATGATTTTGCGAGCTGTCATTATTGATGCGTGCCAACCCGTCTCGTCATCTTTGCTCTCGCATTGTTCTTAGTCGCAAATGGGCCTTCTTCGAACCGGCTCAAAGAAGAAGACAGAGGACAGATAAAGAATAAGCGAGTGTGTGAAAGAGAGAGAAAGAAAGAGGGGGGTGAGGGAGGGAGAGAGAGGGAGAAAGTGATAGAGACTAAAGAAGAGACGGAGAAGGATAGAAAGATGAACAGAGAGAAATGCAACGGGAGATAGAAGGAAAGACACAGAGTAATGGAGAGATGTCGAGGGGGAGAGAGAATCAGAAGGGAAAACGAGTCTGCGCTATGCCACGAATGTAATCGCGGTTGTGGTCGACGAAAGATTCATGATCAAGATGCAATCGCGACGCGAGATCGAACTCGTGAGGATTTTCAAATTCATTTGAATCAATAAATTTACTTTTCGGAATACCATATTTTTGGGAACACGTTTTCAGCGTTTGCTAAGAATTGAGTTTCGGAATATCACGTTTTGCCGCGCTCCAGTTACAGCATTTTGGCTTACTTCATTACGTAGATATGTTTCCGTAGATAGAGTTTTAATACGATATATTTCAGAGTGTAGTAAATTTTATACAGAGCTATATTTTAAAATATTGCTATTCTTGAAATACTTTCTTTTATAAATCATTGAGAACGATACTACCGACTTTTAAACACTTTTGAAGCATTTTATGCTCTTTCAACGAATCTAATAGCGCGCCTGTTTCCAAGTGGGTTATTAACGTTGACGATCACGCGAAAATTTCACACAACACAGATCCGAAGGTAAACGACTGAAAAAAAAGCGTGATGGAACAGCGAACGTGAACCGGACCTATCATCCGTACGCGCTAACTAACCTAAACTTCGAAATAAATAATGCTTCAACAGGAACGGCTGAGCGAACCAGTCGAGACGCGGAACATTCCAGAAAATTACTGATCCAGACTTCTAAAAAAACCATGTAATATTCACGTGAAAATATTTCGATCAGATCGAACACGTTTGTCGATATGCCAAATGTAATGAAACAAATCTGTATACGTATATATAATACAATGCTACCTTCTCAAAATATTATTGAAAGTTGAATATCGAAGTTTTAGAATTATAACGATCAATATTTATGACTTCTAAATTGTAACTTATTTGTGTGTGTTGCTACCTTCAATCAACACAAAATAAAATTTGTCAGAAAACAGCAAAACATTTGGATTGTCAATAATTCGTCAATAAAAATTTATGTTTCTGCGTTTTATCTTGTAGCATAATACCTTTATTACTGCTGAGTAGGTTACATACCTTTATTGATCATATTATCAATATGTTCGATCGCGACAAAAAATATTTATAAGCAGATGCTTCAAAGTGAAATACATGCTTTATAATGAAAATAAAGATCTTCGTATTAAACGTATTCTGATTTTACGTTGCAATATAATAAAAGAGATTTATTTATTGTTTAATTCTTTGGTTAAAGTATCAAATATTCTCAACTTTTGAATTAATGAGACACAAAGCATACTCCAAATTGTTAGCAATGTTTGGAATAGTTCATAAGTGTCTAATATTCATACATTGCCTGTATGTATATTTATTTGTTTATTAAGAGGTTATCATATAGTTACCTTAATATAATTTACATCATCTTCAGATGATGTCTTACAGTTTTCCAAACATAAGTGAGGTTATGCTTGTTTGAGGTTATTCCTTCTTAACTCAACTCGAGTTCCCACGTGCCTTTTATCGTTATCCTTCCACGGCTTTCGAAAACGATAAATTAAAACTGGAAATATTTGCAAATATCCGTTCAGTTTTTGTCGCTAACCGGTAACGAAATCTTTTCGAAGCGAGAACGAAAGGCCAGCCGGGAAGCGGCTAGGTTCAGATCTCCCTGCAAGAGATGAAAGTGCGCGCGCTTCAGAGCAACATTTAGAACGCGGAGTCTGCGCGAGGGACGGAACTTACCTTTCAGGCGACACGCGCACTTCCGCCGCCGCCGCAAAGAATGTAAACACGTAAGCTTCTTCAGCACGGCACGAGGAGCAGGAGCACGATACACGCACGGAAGACACGATATCGCGTAACAGAAAAGATAACGAACAAATGCGACACGGAAACACACGACACATAACAACGTACCTTACCTCGCGAGCGGCCGTCGCGACACTGAACGCGCCGCGGACACCTGTCGCCTTCGACAGTGCCGCCGCCGCGCGGTCGAATCCCTCTCTCGTTCTCGTTCGTTTGTTGCGCACCCTGAATCGCATCGGTGTTCAAATTAAATGTAAGATTTCGACAAGATATAAATCTGTGATTTTTATATTTGTTGATAAAATTGCTAAACATTTCTTCATAAGACACAGAGTGTACTCAAGCTCCAGTTTATTTTTCATAGTTTCGAACGATGTTAATATATTACACATCTATTCATGTGTTTATTAAGAAATCATTGATATATACAATTACCTTTGTAATTCACGTTAGTTTTATATATATTATATATATAATTAACAGAATAAAGAACTGTGTATTATGTATCGCATTTTCTTTGTGCCGTTTTCAGATAAAAAAATTTTTCTTCTGACACCGCGATTGTAGAATGTATTGTTTAGTAACTTTATTTGTTTTCATTATCTTCTTTCTAAAATTTATTTTCAACGATCTGTAATTCACAATAGAATTAGAAATAAAATTTTCTTTATAATTTTATATATGTAATATAAAAAACATAAAAAATTAGAAATATATTAATAATACATATTTTAAATTTATAATTCTAATTTTTTTAATGTTTTTTTACTAAATTTTTATATCGAATTCTATTGTAATTTATCGTAAAAAATTATCTAAAGCGAGTTTAATATAAAATATATCTTAAATTTTTATTTCAATCTAATTTGTTTTATTTCTTGATATAAAATTAAAAGTAAAGAATTTCTTTTCTTATTTTACTTAAAGAATTACTTTTCAGAAAATTTATAATGCATATTTCAACAACAAACGTCAAGTAATTTTTTAAGATTAAAATATTTTATGAATAATAAACATAAAAAACTTTAGACAGTATATCAAACAAATTAATTTAAAACGGTATCAACATTCAATATATTTTTGGATGTTGCAAATAAATATATTTAAAAGTTCTAATGTATTTAAAAACTTGTTATCAAACGCTATTATTTTTATAATATTAATCAATTTATGTTTAATGAACAAGAAATTAATTCCATACATCTTGATAATAGCAGTCAAGTTAAAAATTAAAGACAATTTTAAAAAATCATACAGAAGAACAATCTGTCCAGAAAAAACCAATAGAATGGTTGAGATAATAATTGCACGGTAAAAAAATAACCAGCCAACGCAAGATATGAGACTATAAGCGCAGCTGTATGTATTGTCCGCTGCACTACGAGTCCCCATAGGAGTCTCGAATAGCACAAAAGGGGATGCTGAGCTCATAGAAACGTGATGGAGGGTTTATTGTGCGGGAGGGTACTAACACTGCCATGATGCAACTCACAACAGCAGCTCGTGAAAATATAAGTGACTTCTGCATAACTGTTAACTATAAATGCTTCCATATCGTATTACAGAATGCTCATAAAATCTGCATTAAAGTCAAAATTAATTACAAAGATTTATATATACACAGTCTTGCAAAAATATATGCAGCCTTTTTAATAGATCTTTAAAAATATTCGTTAAATTAGGACGTCCACTAAAAGCATAATCAAATTTTTTAAACTGAATTGCCTAATAAATTGATAAATATTCTATAATATGCATAGCATTTTATAAATTACGGTATTTTATATAATACACACACACTATTCAAAATTTAAGAGAGAGAGAGACAGAAAAAAATTCTAATCTTTCTAAATATATATATGTATATACACATATACATATATTACATAATGTAGATATATATATATTTCAAATTTTAATAATAAAATAATACAAAAATAAAATATATATTTTATGCATACATTGTACATCTTTCCATTTTATTTAATTATGTATTATATCATAAATTGCGATTTAGATGATATTAAATTTACGTATATCAAATTTATGTATATCAAAATAAACGCAATAAAAATAATCTTTAATGATCAATAACAAACACAATAATTATTTGTTTATTTATAGTATCTAAATTCTACGAGAGATGTAATAAAACATGATTTAAAAACTGGATTCAATATTAATGAAAATTGCTACGATGTCATAGTAAGTAATTGCTAACGCTGCCACGATACGCGAAGGGTGATACAAGCACTTGAGTAAGCAAGATCTTTGTTAGCACTGCTTTGCATGCAATACGAGAAAATGTGGGAGGGTGGCAAAAAGAAGGGTCTTGTTCGTGCATCCCTCGCAAGAAACAATGATGTCGCGCACACTTGTACTTCTTTTGATCTCGTCCCCGTCGTAGGTCTTTGTTAGCAGGCTTTTTCGATATAGTCATGCAAACCTATCCATCTCTCATGGGCCAACCAGCGAGATATTGTATGCAAAAACGAGCACATTGAAACAGTAAATACGAATGAATGCATAATTAAAAAGAATGGAAGTCTGTCCTCGCATGTTTCTACGTGAAGTTCATCAACATGTTTATTACATCTCTTCAATAGAATTTTCATACCTTGAACTGACATTCTTTTATGAGAAATCTTAATTT